TATCCAACATATCACCTGATTGTTAAGTTTGTGGCAAGTTGTGATAGTGAATGTGTCATTTCTACATGATTGTCTTTATTGTAGCAATAGGCACCAAGTTGTGGATTGGATCATTGTAATGTGATTGTGAGCTTTATGGCAATATACCTAGTGGTTTGAAATGCTAAATATGAAAATAAGTTTAACTGCAAAAATACAACTTGTGTTATGCATAATTATATGATTTTGAATGTTTAACTTGCTTTCGTGTGTTGAAATTAATTGATATACAACTACATAAGATAGGCGTACTTTAGTTGTTCAGTAGTTATACTCACCCTGCTCTTTCAATATTTTACAGGCTCTAGCTCCAATATGGAAAGAGAAAAAGCTCCAAAGGCTTAGGAATCTGGGATTCCTATTGTAAAGCCTCTTGCCTAGATTTATTTTGTTTAATAGATAATATATTTTTAATTAAGATACACCTTGTTTACACTTGTACTATATTGCTGTCAAAGAATTTGAGATGTATTTTGAGCCTTGGAATGTTGTATGTGAGTTGTTGAAGAGTTAATATAACTAAAATATTAGTGCAAGTGTAGTAACTATTATCATATTATTGAAATTGATAATGATTGGATTATACAATGCTAAAACATTCCCTTTATGTTTTCGGTCTTAAAGGAGTTAAGGAGTGAAATTTTGGAATGATTAGAATTATATCCGTATGGTATGTTTTAGAGGTAGTTCTAAGTCCTTTGAGTGTATTTTAGATGTTATGTATTGCTTTTGACATATGTGTATGGTTTTGGATACCTTTGAATTGTGAAAAGTGGTGAAAATGTATTTGAGTATTTAACTTCCTTATGTGACTTAATTTGGAAGGAAGACCCATGTCATTAGCTAGTTTATAAAAAATAGCTTTTCATATATACCTAGGTTATCTTATTTGGACATCGGACGGAAAAATAGAACAAGTCAAAAGTTTCCTCTGATTACTATCAAGTGATAGCAAAATCTGTTGTCTAATAACATATCACAGTGCGTGGCACAAAGAGGGACAGTTGCGATGCATGTGCATATGCCGTAATGTGCTATTTTGTTTTTCATTCCTTGATTTTTTTTTTTTGCAAATTTTGAATCTTTTTACTCTTATAAAGTATCCTATTCTTCCTAAATAATATTGTACTCTAATTGAAAGTTTAATAAATAATTTTAGTTTATTTTAAACTATGAAAACTTAAGTTTCCATTTCTATAAATTACAAACTTAGTAATCAAAGTGGGTTAGTCCATGATTATCTTGGATTTGCAGGTCAATTGTGATTAAGTTTTAGGAGATATTACAATATATAGGCCATTTAAAACATGAGCAATATGAAACCTTATTATTACTATTGATTAAATATTTATTATTTTTTTGTTGTATTATTATTAAGCTAAATGATTATTTGATTTTTTATGTTAACATTAAAATTTTTTAAATAATAACAAGTGAATGTGACGTCAGATAATGATGCTAAAAATGTTTATGAAATTAATTTATAAACTGAATTCAAATTTATTTAAAATTATAAGCTATTAATTTGAAATAACAGATAATAGTAAGAAATTTAAAATATAATTTTTAATTAAAAATATTTTGCCGTCTAGATGGACACTTTAACAACCGTTAATTACAACCTATGACTAATTGTAATGTATCACAAAGTCATGTGAACAAGTCTACCTCATAGTCCTTGTCAAATTAACTGATTTTGGATATGTGATAAAGCAAGGATGACTTTCCAACATGTCTTTAAAATGCTTGAAAAAACAAAGCAAAACAATGAAATTGAGAGCATATTTGCTTGTGTTCTCTCAAATCTCAACTAATTGCACTCCTATATTCTAACAAATCAAGTTGATATTGGCTTCTTTAATCGATCTATAAAAGTCTATATATTTAGGTGATCTACACATCAAGACATTTAAAACAGAATAGGGAAAGCTGAATTGCTATTTAGGTACTCTACTACTTATAGCTCCTAGCATAGTTGCGTCTTTTAAATTTTATATTAATATTGAATATTGATATTGATAATGTTTTATTTTAAATAATTTAGTATATATCTACTAATCAAATTTAAACCATTGAAATGAGCTTTGTACACAGAAATTGATGGAAAGACATGACTATTTGAAATTGGCTATATCATTTTTTTTTCTATTTTAAAATAATTTCAAATGAATTAACCCGTACACAATAACCTGTGAAAAGACATTAGTCTTTGAAATTGGCTACATGGTTATTTTTTTCTATTTTCAAGAGACAATTTAATAATGTAAATAGGATTAAGCTCCCTTTTCTTAGTTCTGTTTTTTTTTTTTCGTAATCCCCCATTCTTGGATCTTTATTGGGCTGCAAGCTCTCTGATGGCTAATATTATGTGTGGTATTCACCAACAAAAATTCTGTGTGGTATTTTTAAAATTAAATTGAACATTAAATTAGAAATAAATCAATATAGAATATATAAAAATTTTAATATAATAAATTACAATACTCATAAACCATGTATTGTGCCAATCATACCAGATTTCACGTAATGTGTGGGAAAAAAATGTTCAATAATTTACACTTTATTAATGGAATTGTGATTGCGTTAGTAATAATTAAATGTGTATTTAAAATTTTGATTTAATTAGTAAATTTTAATAATAATCAAAATTTTTCCCAAAGACTTAATCTTAAAATTCTTATATATCCAATACCGTTCAAATGCTATTTTTATGTAACTTGAATATATACAAAGTATATATGAGACTTACATATACTTGACATGATAACTTGTGTGTGTGTGTTTTATGCATATTGATGCTTGAATTAATCAATTGGTTTGCATGCATGACAACATATTATTAAAGGTTGTTTGAAGTAAAGCTAAGAGTGACACTATTAATAAAAATATGTTCCGGAGCACTTCTAAAAAAAAAAAAAAATTCGCTTTGATAAGTTGAGGCCAAATGTACCGGAGAGCTCTTTTGAAAAAGCACAATGCCCCAATACATTAAGATGTTTCAGAATGCTCTTCATACAAGTGCTCCGAAAATATAGATTAAAAAAATTAAAAAAATTGAAAACCTTGCAGATTGCTCTATAGAAGAGCACTATGAAAGGCAAGATAAAAAATTACACTCTAGACTCATTTTTAAAAACTTGAATGATCCGGAAATAATGTTGAAATGAGTGCTTTAATAGTTCCATACTTCATTAATTCAAAAATCATTCATCACTAGCTAAAATCAGTTATTGTCTTTTATCATTTGAGTATTAGAGTTTTATTATACTGATCTTATTCTTAAAGAGAACTTTTTTGAGTGAAATTTATCTTCCATACTTTGGAAGTGAATGTAAGCTCAAGCGAATATAGAGCTAAATCAAAATAATTTCAATTTACATTTTTTAATCCCTTATCTTTTTACATTTTCAGCAACTCCAATTTATTCTTTGTTTTTCTGAGTTAAAATAGAACTTGAAATATTTAGAAGCTCTTATCCAAAATTCTAATTTGTAAATTAATTTCAAACATTCTTACATATATTGAGTTCGTTAAATTTAGCCAAATGCACATTATACACTTTTTGTTAGAAAAGTTTCAAAAGAATACTAAAAATTAAATAAATAGTTAATTTACCTCCTTTTGAATGTGTTGTCATTTCTAACATAACAAAAAGAAAGAAAAACAAACAAAATATAGAGCCTAATAGTTTCCTAATACTAAAAATGGGTTAAAGACACATAAAATAATCGGCTAGGGGCATCTAATATTATAAAGTGAGGAAGAGGGCATAAATACCCATAATGTTATGTGAATGGGTGTAGAAGTGATCAAATTGTTAACTTTACCCTAATGATGTTACTTTTCAGTATTAAATGCTGACTGTGTATGTCACGTGTCAGTTTTTACTAATGTAGACTAAAAAAGGGCAAAAATATTCACAAAATAGTCAGTCATGGGCATCTAGTAGTCTAAAGTAAGAAAAAAAAAGACAAAAATACTCATAATGTTACTAGAATTTGTGTAAAAGTGACTAATTCATCAAATCTCTTAAATGTTAATTGTTTAGGTTACACCTAAGTGGAAGTTGACCATTTTTCATTGATGTAGATAAAAAATATTTCCAAGTGAATTTCTACGAAAGTTGATTGATCATCATATGAGTACCCATAATATTACCTTAGTAGGTGCAATAGTGACCAATTTGTCAAAACCTTAGATTCAACATAATGAGATAGATTGTACATAATTGAAAATTAATGTCACAACCTTAAGCAATTTCATTCATGATAGGTTCAAAATTTTTAAATGGTTTTCACCACTGTTGCAAAGAAGTGAGCAATTTAATTTGATGTTCGATCAAAATGATATTTTCTCACATAATATTCATACGATCACTGATTAACCTTTATAGAATTTCACCTAGGAATATTTTTTTCTCGTCAGCGAAAAAATAATCAACTTCTATTTAGGTGTTAACTAAATGGTTAACATTTAAGAGATTTTATGAATTGATCACTTTTGCATCAAATCTAATAACGTTATGAGTATTTTTTTTCCTTTTCACTTTAGGCTATTAAATGCTCCTGACTGATTACTTCGTGGGTATTTTTGCCCCCTTTTTAATTTACATTAATAAAGATTAACACATGGCATGCACAATTAGCATTTAACACCAAAAACTAACATCATTAGGAAAAATTAATGGTTTGGTTACTCCTGCACCAACTCATGTAACGTTATGAGTGTTTATGCTCCCTTCTTCATGTTGTGATACTGGGTACCCTTGACAGATTACTTTATGCGTAGATTTGCCCTTTAACCCTATTAAAAATTTATGTTAAGTCTTAAAGAAGCTTGAAACAATGTGGCTATTTTTTATATTAATGTTAATATCAATATTAATTGGTTCCCCTTATTTGTTGCCTATTTAAAGCTCAACCATATAGATACATTGCATGTACCACTACCTAGCCTTCAACATGACGAACCTATTGCTCATCTCGTTTTTCGTAGCAGTTTCAGCCTCCGCTTGCCTTCATGAGTTCAAATATCTTCATCCATCTCTCATGTTATCTTGCTTCTCTGCATTCTTTCTCCTAACCCTAGCAATTTTTCATCACTTGAAGAGACAAACAAGCAAAGTATACTTAGTAGACTTTGCTTGCTACAAGCCAAGTGATTCTTGTGCTATCACAAATGATATGTTTGTGGAAACATTAAAGAGGATTGGAGCTATCTCAGAAGAAAACTTGAAACGAATCAAGAAAATTGTAGATAAGTCTGGTTTAGGACCTAAGACGTACCTTCCCCAAGCTATCATGCAAAATAACCCACCAAAAGTATGTCTAGATGAGGCAAGGAAGGAGACAGAGACTGTGCTTTTTGGAGCCATCGATGAACTTCTGGAGAAAACATGGGTCCAGCCTAAGGATATAGGAATTCTTGTTGTGACTTGTAGTACGTTTAGTCCCACACCATCTCTATGTGACATGATTGTGAATAGATATAAACTCAGACACAACATCTTGTGCTACAATCTTAGCGGCATGGGTTGCAGTGCTGGAGTTCTTGCCCTTGATTTTGCCAAACGCCTCCTCCAGGTTCTTCTCTATTTTTTTCCCCAAAAAAATTGTTAGAGACTAAAATTAACTAGGCCAATTGAATTATTATAATTTTGATTCGATTATAACTTAATTTTTGAAAGTTGACTCATTGTAATTCAATTTTTACATAACTCATACACCTTTATATTATGTTATAACAGTCACACCCAAACTCATACGCCATGGTGCTGAGCACTGAAAATGCAAACACAGGGATATACTTGGGCAACAACCTTTCAATGCTCCTCGTCAATTGTCTCTGTCGGATGGGTGGTTCTGCTTCTCTTCTCTCCAGTCATCCATCGGATCGTCATCGTTCAAAGTATCAAATCATCCACACACTTCGCACCCACATGGCTTCTGATGACAAAAGCTACAAGTGTGTGTTTCAACAAGACGATGATCAACATGAAATTGGTATTTCCATCTCAGAAGATCTCACGAATGTTGTTGGTCAGGTCGTCAAGCGTCACATCACATCTCTTGCCCCACTGGTCCTTCCTGTCTCAGAAAAACTCAAGTTTCTTGTAACTTTCGTGGGAAGGAAAGTCTTGAGATTGAAGATTGAAGCTTATGCGCTGAACTTGAAGTTGGTTTTTGATCACTTTTGTATTCACTCTGGAGGAAGGGCAGTAGTGGATACAATGCAGAAGAGTCTTGACCTTCAAGATTGGGACGTGGAACCTTCAAGAATGACACTTTATAGGTTTGGGAATACATCTTCGAGTTCAGTTTGGTATGAATTGGCTTACTGTGAAGCCAAAGGAAGAATCAAGAGAGGTGACAAAATCTGGCAAATGGCATTTGGGGCAGGGTTCATGTGTAACAGTGTAGTATGGGTTGTTTTAGACGATGTTGAGGCAGGTTCAACAAAGAATCCATGGAGGGATGATATTCATGAGTTTCCTGCTAATGAAGCTCCCGTTGGAATTTTTCCAACCCGTCAAGAGACGAGCTTATTTTAGTCCGCCCTGCCAACCTGTGACACGTAGCAGGCCAACCCACAATCTGTGGGCTAGCACGTACTATCCCCTCTAGTTATGAATATCCTTTGTTAGTGGTAGAAAATAAGTTCTTAGGTATAGCGTATGGGTTGATGGATTATTTGCATTTTAGATTTAAAATCTTGTTCGAAGATTAAAATTGTTAGGGCAATTAGTTTGTCACTAGAATTAATTATCTAAGGTTGTTATTAGAATTAGGTTGTTAGGGTATTTCGTTGTTTTAAATGTAGGGAAGTTTATTGTATTGTTTCTCCCAATGGTTTCGGATTTTCTCATCATCCTTTAGTTAAGGTTTGATTTTTGTATGTCGTATATCCTTAATTCAATTGAAGGATTATCTTGTTGTATTTTCAATCATAATCATCTTCAGTTTCTCCTTTAATTATGTCTTCAATATGCTTAACAAATCTTACATGTAAAATCTCATATTTAAATACTTTATATAGTAGTGTAAAAAATTATAAAGGAAAAAGAGAGATGGGCTGAGATTTGCAAGAAAAATAAGATTGAAACTTATTAGTTTACTTCTATTTTTTAGTCAGTGAAAGATAAAAGCAAGAGATAAAAGAAGAGGCAAAAGTGATAAAGACATTGATAATGAATGCATAAGGAGAACAAGAGGATTAAAATAGTTGAAATTTTAAATAATTAGAATATAAAGAAAATTTAAAAGTTACAAAGTAGTTATAATAATAAAAAAGGAATTTTGATTTGATCATCAAAGTCATAAACTTTTACATATCTAAAAGGAGGATTTTTAGTTAAAATTCAAATCTTCATTAATCCAAAGTCCAAGCACAATATTATGGTGCTAGAGCAAAAGTAAATCCTTTCCAATTATTATTTTTTCAATAAACTGGAAATCGAATCCCAACCACTTGTTTGTGTATATGTAATTTATTTACATTTGACATAAATCTATCAAGTCTTTATTTCATTCTTTATTTCAAATTTTTCAACAAAAATAATATAGAAATATAAATTATGCTGACGATTCTTGTTTGAAGAAACTGATTAATGTCTAATTAACTAATTTTAAATGGAGATGGATTTGCAAAAATAATTGCAATCACTTGCGAGGAATTTCTTAATTTGAGAAGAAATTTCGGAACGAAATATAACATGGAGTCTCAATTATTAAAATGATATATAGTGGTATTGAATTTGCCATGACATGAAAGTAAACTGCAGATTCTCATTGGGGAGAATATGTAATAATTAATCCTAAATTTTTCTTATTTATTTCTTAGATGATCCTCCGAGAATGGCATCACTGGGGCGAGTATAATGGTCACCATCTCCATATTTTCTGGTATACATTTCTCTCTCTTGATGTTTTTTTTTTTTTTAAATAAGTAATGGAGTTTTGCATTAATCACTCGCAAAGACTTGTTCTTCCTTATACCAAAATAACTTAAGCTATACTTTAAAAGAATTCACTCCACGTTTATATTGCTGTAATTAATTCTCTAATAACTTGATGTGAGACTATGATACAATTAATAAAAAAAAAAAAAACACTCAAAAGCTGCTAGATAAGGTGCTCAGATAAAGAAATGATGAGAAGGTTGGATATATTTGTACAAACAAAAGGCAAGAGCCAACAGAATGAAAAAGGCCATGTGAGGATAGGCATATTCCTAAAATCTTCAGGGATTACAACAGAATGAAAAAGGCCATGTGAGGATAAGGTGCCTTTGTGTGAAATCTTTTAACAATCATCTCATTGTCAATATTAAAAAAAATATCTTTTATAATATAAATCACTAAAAAATTATTTATCAATAAATTTCTCATACAATTTTGCTATCAATTTTTCACAAACTTCATAATAGAAAAGATACTTTCTACCATTTATTATGACAACCGGTAATATCATTGCTAACTTCAAAAAAGCGCAAACTGAGGGATAAACTAATATGTCTTCTTGTTTTTTTCACCAATTTTTTTTTTTGGCAAAACTACCAATTCCTTTTAATGAAGCAAATTCAGTATTGCTTTGCATATCGATGATGCATGTCTCAAATTGATTATCAAGCATCATTGAATAAGAGAAAGAAAACTCTCATAGATAAAACTTGACAAATTCAATTAACGTTTTCTTATTAAAAGCTGAGGATGAATTAGTCAGATTCAAACAAGACATACAAAGAACAATTATGTGTATTTGCCTTAGTAAAATGATCATTGAGTTTTTGAAGTTGTGTATCCACAAGGTATAAAATAATTCAACTTATTAATAATAATCAACTTTGACTACTTGAGATTTATTTCCACAGCACGATCTCCCTTTAGACAAAAAAATATCTTCCATATTAAGAATTTCAATGTCATGTTTGTTGCAAAATAAAGTAACTTTTTCCAAGAGAAACTCTCATCTACCATCCTTCAAAATTTGTAGTCAATGCTTTGTGATATTCCCCAAGTTCATTGCATTGATAATATCTTGATTCTTTCTTTGTAATGTTTGTAACAACTCATGTGAGATACTCAAGATATTTTTCATTAAATATAAGGTAAATGTAAAATCAAAATCCTCCAACAAGTATAAAAAAACCATTAGCTTCTGCTCTTTGATTTGTATTTGGTTCATCTTCTTTTATAATTTCAAGTGCATCAATTATAGCCAAAAACATGATCTTTTTTGCAAATATGTTCCGCATACAAAAATTTTATTTTATATTTAAATTTACATGATAAAAGAAAAAATTATTTTTTATATGATTTTATATTATATATGTTACTTATAATAAGAGAAAAACTTATTTGTCTAATTATTTAATTTTTTTATTTTGAAGATTTTTTCACATGAATATCTCTATGTAGATTATAAATTCCTTACTTTTATAAAATATTTAAGCTCATTTTACTAATTTTTAGTTAAAAATATCTATTATTAATATAAAGATTTAGTGATGGAAATTAGTGATAAATTTATATTGGCCATTGAATTTATAAAATTTGATGACATCTTATATACAACACCAATTTATATAGTAATTAGTAACACTTCAACCGTCCCAAATTATAAGACATTTTTAGATAAAATCTCACATACCAATAAACATCATTAAATACACCTAACAACTTTATCTTTTCAAAACACTAATATAAATTTTTAAAAATACCCATCATTTAATATATTGAAAAGAGAAGGAATAAAAATTAATTATAAAGAGAGGAAGGATAATATTAAAATTGGTGCATTTAATGAAATATTAATTTACGCAAAGTATCTTATATTTTGGGATGAAGAAACTTTTTTAAAAGTATTCTATAATTTAAAACGAAGGGAGTAGATTTTAATCCATCACTATATTTAGTGACAGATTAAAGATTTATTACTAAATGTCTGTTAATAATTTTAATTTTTTAGTAATGATGAAATGGTAAAATTTATAATAATAAATTATATTGTTGATGCCATAATTGTTTTTAAGTTAAATTATACAAAACTTCTATCAAATTTGACTTTTTTTTGGCAAAGAAACATGCAATTCATTCATAAATATTAAAACCATGAATTCCAGTTGACTAGTAGAAAAATGAAATGCAAATAAAAAAAGTAAATTAGGCCATATAAGGGCGGATAACTTAGTCACACGTACAAATCTCCTTTAAAAAAGTTCTATTCTTTTGCTTTCAAATCGTTTGACGTAAGCAGTTTTCATCCTGGATCATTAGACATCGGCACAAGCATTGTCTAATATCAAAATGCAGGATTTCGTTTTTTTTTTTTTAAGAATTACTTTCGACCGTATTTAGGCCATTTAAAACGTGAGCAATATGAAAAAATGATTGTTTTTCTGTTAAAAATGTGAGACATATGAATTAATATTATTATTGATTTTTGGTACAGCAATAACCCTGAAAGGCTATTCAAATGAACGCGTTTTTCTTATTTCAAATATTTTTGTTCTTTATTTTTTTTCTTTTTAAGGTAAATGTTTATTTGATTTGTTGTTTTATCATTAAATTTTTTTAGTAACAACAAGTGAATATGAAGTTAATTTAATACTAAAATTTTTTTAATAAATATTTTATAAAATGAATTCAAATGTATTTAAAATTATAGATTTATTAATGTGAAATAACAGATAATAATGAAGAATTTAAAATTAATTTTTAATTAAAAAAACATTTCGCCACCAAACTAATCAAATGGACACTTTTTCTTTTCCTCTTTTTTTTGGGGGTCTGAATGAAATGGACACTTTACTAACCATTAATTACAATCCATGACTACATGTCGCCAACAAACAAATGAAATGGACAATTTTGTCTTTTTGGACCTGAATGAAATGGACACTTTACTAACCATTAATTATAATCAATGACTACATGTCACAGTTCACAAGTCCACCTCACACAGGCCTTGTGTAACAAAGAAGAAAGGAGAAGAAAAGTGTCCATTTCATTGGTTTGTCACAGTGGCCTTGTCAAGTTAAATGAATTTGGACATGCGATAAGGCTTTGGCCCAAAAAAAAAAAAAATCAAAGAAATTAAAAGATATGCGATAAGGCGAGAATGAATTTCCAACGCATATTTAAAATTCACATAATTCACGTTATTTTTGCATCAAGTGCAGAGTCAGGATTAGCAAAGAAGTTTTTTTCAAAAAAAAAAAACAGAGAAGACTTAACTTTGTCGTATATGCTTGATATATTGGGAGAATGACAAAAAAAAAAAATCCCAAAATATACAACTAATAATTAAGTACTGCAAAATATAATGGTTATTATCTACTTCCAAGGAACTTGTCTGGCATTTTGATTTTGACATATTTCCCCATATTGACTATTATGTATTGGAAAATGAGTATTTCAGTTAAATTGAAAAAAATAAAAATTGACTTACTTTGTTTTTGTAAATTTTATTTATCAATCAAGTGCAAATACTAAAAATTAATGATTATTATACATTAAAAAATGACTATTTAGTGGGGCTATTGATTAAAATGAAATAGAAAATGACTATTTATTTGTTACAAATTATATAAATGGGTTAGAAAATGAATATTCCTTTATGAAAATAACTACTCTCTTTCTACTTTAGTTGCACTTGATTAATAAATAAATTTATGAAGGGAAAGTAATCATTTTTTATTTCATTTTAATTAATAATTCAGCCAAAATAGTCATTTTCCAATGTGTAATAGTCAATGAGGGTAAATATGTCATTTTGTTAAAAATTAAAATACTAGACAAGTTCCAAGGGACTAAATAATTATTATCACATTTTACCGTACTTAATTGGGTTAGATATATTTTTGTATATTTCAGTGTATTATTTATTTTTTTCTAA